ACCTGAGTGATATCTATGATACACACTGCTCTGCTTTCTGCACGGACCTCTCAACTGTTCTCTCTGGAAACATCGCAACGCGATGAAAGCAGTTACTACAATAATATCCAGGGGATGCATGCAGAGCTGTGATTGGCTGAGATAAGTCCGGCCGTGCGTCACGCCTCCACCGTTCCCGGAAATGCATCCGCGGAGGAGCCGTGGAGGAACCATCAGTGTATCCTCGGTTATAGCTCCTCCAGAGAGCCTCCTCGACGCTCGATCCTCGGTCCTCGGTGTGCATTTAGAGAAATGAAACGTCCTTCAAAATGGCGCGCTGAAATTCATTTCCGGGTCACTACCGGAGGACCGAGGAGTCGAAGAGGAGACATTTGAGTATTGAGAAGCCTCTTGTGTCTGTTTTGATCTGTGTGTATTTACGGTATTTACATGAACACAGAGCAGATCAAAGCAGAGACATAAACACAGTTTTTTAGGGAACACACTGCGGTCCCACAGACAATATTGTAATATATCTTTAACAATCAACACCTTAAATGGGTAAAGATGGTCGCTTAACGTAGCCTACTACCGTACAACCTGCCTCAGCGCCCCTAACAGTCGGCACAAGAGTAGACATGCAGAGCCGGACCCACGCAGTGAAGTTCTACCGCCTGACAGCAGACATGACACAATCATTTAAAACAAGACGGACCGCAACATGCCGCAAGCTCACCCATCGGCTGTGACTCCCCCTCCGCACTGAGCTCGGTGTAATGTGCATAACTTTGGGCAAGGTTCATAGTTTTAAATATTGTAAAGTGTAGAGCGGATGAATGGGAGTCCACACTTTATTTTCCATTAGTTTACAGAAAGGTAGGAACAACTTAATTACATGCTACTCAAGCTATGATAACAAACCACAGGTGCGCTCCCTAACAGGTCCGTGGCGCAACACTCTCTCTCGAACACAGTGAATTATGTCCCGTAATGTTCCTCCACAAAAGCAAGCAACTGCCGGATTTACGCTCTACAAATACTCACAGTATAAAAACACGCTAAAGTCATTCAATATAAACTCACCTTATGGTGTTCATGGCTGTATCCTAGCTAACACCAGTGAGTGACAATGTTTACACATTGACAGCTGTATTTACGTTGCTCGTTGTAACGGCAAATGTGAACTCTGCTTTTTGCAAACAATGCGTCTTGTGATAACCTGTAACTATGACGAACACTTGATGACATTAAATCACTTTTAATAACTTTGACCTTGTAGAGATCTCCTCGGAACAGAACCAGCTGACTCCTCCGATGCGGGAAGAAAATATGGTGGACCCCCCCTCTTTGTTTAAAAAAGAAAAGCTTCAACATTTTCAAATAAAGATTTTTTGAAATGTTTTCTGCTTTTCATCTTGTCCATTAAAGTGCCATATTGTTCAAGTTCAATTACGAAACTATTAAAAGTAGGGTTTTGAGTCCGACCATTTTGATTTGTGAATAAAACATTTGTCAATAATTAGAAGCTGAGTAATCGGCTGCAGAGCAAGCTGCTGCAGAGCAGTGTGTGCTCAGTGGACGGAGTTACAGAGATAAACATCACTTTGCTCTTATTTCTGAACATGATTGAGACTTATAGAACGCACAGCCCTCAAGATTAACATAGTTATGATTGATTCATGTTTCGATGAGAAACATTAATACATTCTGTCTCATATATTAACTTCATATTTGCAAATTGAACAACCGCACTTTCCCCTTGTTTCAGTGTGCAAGGCTTCTGCGATTAATCTAAATAAAAGTTTCCACACAAATTAGACTCAGAAAATACTCTCTCAGTCAGTCAGCACAACACAAGAGGCTCAACTCAACTAAAAAGTGTTTATTCAAAAGTCAAAGTCAACTTTAATGTCAATTTCTCGTGTGTTTGTACAGACAGAGAAATAACGTTTCCAACAATCCCGAATACAAAATACAATAATATAAATATACAAATATGTATAAAATATGTATATATATATATATATATATATATATACACACATTCAACAGACACATTTACACATGTGCTCACATTAAGATAAAACACAACAATCAATACAAAATAACAAATTAACAGTCACTTCAATATCGTAGGGAACGCACATGGAGCATTGAAGCAATCTAAGATGTTCGTGATGTTCATGTTGGATGATAAACTTTAAAGAACTGGTCAGTTGTGTTTTAGCGGCATCTTCCACACAGGTTGACTCTGTCTCTCAATTGGCTGCAACATGGGAATTGTAGTCCTTTATTATCCATGCAGTGCACAAGGTCGCCACTAGATGGCAATATTATTACGACCATAACCTAACCCTGGCTCTAACACTTCCTCTTATTATAATGTTGTAAAAGTATCTTAATAATAAACAACAAAACACTTTTCATGTAGAAATGTGTTTTGTATATAAATATTAGGTTCTTCATTTTATTTTGGCCAATTTCTCAGGAAAAAAAACGTTTGCAGAAAAGTGATTTTCAGGATATTTGGAATCACTGGTTTTTCATTAATGTGAACATAATTTAAACATTGAATACTATGAGTTTGTGAATCCAGAATAATGTATCATATTCATGACTTGAGTTATATTTTGTATGAATAATATGAACCTGCAAAGTAGAGAAGCAATAGTATAAAGTAGCAAAACATGGAGATACTACCGTAACGTGCAGGTACCTCCCAATTGTACTCTGGTACAGTATTTGAGTAAATCTAGTAATTGGTTTGAAGAAAAGTTTAGTTTTTCATCCAGCAGAGGGCGGTAACCGCAGCTCTTTGGATTCCTCTGCACTTGCCCTCTGTACTTGTGTACCTTGTACTTTTACTTCAGTAAAGTATCTGAGTACTTCTTCCACCTTGATTTGATGTACACAATATAAACTGCACACAGTGTGTCCTCTGTTATCAGGTGTGTTTCTGTTCTCGGTTAGCCGTAGGGATGGGTATCGTTTGAAATTTATCGATTCCGATTTCGATTCCGGTTCTGCTTATCGATTCCGGTTCTTATCGATTCCCCGTTTCGATTCCAAAATTGTAAAATAAAGAGGTCAAACGTTTAGATAACAAAAATATATTTATTCTTAAAAGCTTTAACTGAAATTGTTACTAAAAAATATACATGCAATACAAATGTATTGCACAATAGCTGTGCTTTATTTTAACTGAGCTATGCCTGTGGCAAGCTATTAACAGGCATTACACTTTGCCTTTTATTTTTATTTTTAGTGTAGTGGAGCCTCACTTCAGAGTGTTTACCGCGACCTATCTTTGGTGTTATGAAGTGACTGAGCTCGTGAAATGTCTACGGGAGGGCGGGGGAGCATCGCTGCGGAGCAACTGTGGACCTCTGTCGCCTGTCAGCGCAATTTATATGATGCCGTTTAAAAAAATGAAGGGCGGTGCCGGCCGTCAGCGTACCGAGCCGGCCGTCAACGGCCCGCTGACGACCGGCCGTTCTGTGATTCTCCAGGTCCGCCCTGTATTCCACCGGGTCACCGCAGCACCGCGGTGCAGACGGACCCGCTGGAATACAGGGTCTACCGCGTTTAGGAACCGTTAAGCAGAACCGAAATTGTGTATTTTGTATGGGTACCCGGTACCCGGCATTTTCTTATCGGTTCTCATCTGGAACCGAGTTTCGGTTCCCAACCCTAGTTAGCCGCGACCAAACCAGAACAAATGGAGCTGTTTGTCAGCGCAGTGAAACTCACAGAACCACAGCAGCAGAACAGCTTTTACTCCTCTGCTCAAGAGTCACTTTAGAGTCGCTTTAGAGTCACTTTAGAGTCACTACAGAGTCACTTTAGAGTCACTACAGAGTCACTATAGAGTCACTATAGAGTCACTACAGAGTCACTATAGAGTCACTATAGAGTCACTACAGAGTCACTATAGAGTCACTACAGAGTCACTACAGAGTCACTACAGAGTCACTATAGAGTCACTACAGAGTCACTACAGAGTCACTACAGAGTCACTACAGAGTCACTACAGAGTCACTACAGAGTCACTTTAGAGTCACTACAGAGTCACTATAGAGTCACTATAGAGTCACTATAGAGTCACTACAGAGTCACTACAGAGTCACTATAGAGTCACTATAGAGTCACTATAGAGTATAGTCACTACAGAGTCACTTTAGAGTCACTATAGAGTCACTATAGAGTCACTACAGAGTATAGTCACTACAGAGTCACTTTAGAGTCACTATAGAGTCACTATAGAGTCACTACAGAGTATAGTCACTACAGAGTCACTTTAGAGTCACTATAGAGTCACTTTAGAGTCACTACAGAGTCACTATCACTATAGAGTCACTATAGAGTCACTACAGTCACTATAGAGTCACTACAGAGTCACTAGAGAGTCACTATCACTATAGAGTCACTACAGAGTCACTTTAGAGTCACGATAGAGTCACTACAGAGTCACTACAGAGTCACTTTAGAGTCACTTTAGAGTCACTACAGAGTCACTTTAGAGTCACTACAGAGTCACTATAGAGTCACTATAGAGTCATGATAGAGTCACTTTAGAGTCACTACAGAGTCACTACAGAGTCACTTTAGAGTCACTACAGAGTCACTATAGAGTCCCTATAGAGTCACGACAGAGTCACTACAGAGTCACTATAGAGTCATTATAGAGTCCCTATAGAGTCACGACAGAGTCACTACAGAGTCACTATAGAGTCACTATAGAGTCACTATAGAGTCACTTTAGAGTCACTATAGAGTCACCACAGAGTCACTATAGAGTCACTACAGAGTCACTACAGAGTCACTATAGAGTCACTACAGAGTCACTACAGAGTCACTATAGAGTCACTACAGAGTCACTATAGAGTCACTATAGAGTCACTATAGAGTCACTATAGAGTCACTACAGAGTCACTATAGAGTCACTATAGAGTCACTATAGAGTCACCACAGAGTCACTACAGAGTCACTACAGAGTCACTACAGAGTCACTATAGAGTCACTATAGAGTCACCACAGAGTCACTATAGAGTCACTATAGAGTCACCACAGAGTCACTATAGAGTCACTTTAGAGTCACTAGTAAAACAGAATAAAAAGATGTCCAGAGGAGTCCTTCTTCAGGTTTACTTCAGAGACGAGTACAGGACGTCCGGCTCGGGCACGATCTCTGCTAAAAACAGGAGAAAGTTTATTAAATAATAATATTTATATCTGCAATCATGTATACCTGTGTGTGCATAGCTAACTGAACATATTTCATCCATAATAGTTATTTAAGGTATTATTTGAAATAAACAAATATTATTATTATTTAAAGGGTTTAAGAAAAAAAAATGTAACTATATTTCTTTTTTTAAATGTTTGGAAAACATTAATTTGTACATGACAGCTTTGTCTTTATTTAATAATAATTAAGTAATAAATTGTTAATCATTTTAAATCCCAGTATTTTGAATGTTTTTTTGTTGTTGTTTTTTTTGGATAATTGTTCTTATCTATAGTTTATTAACGGTTTTAATTTATGGCTTTTAGTTTATTTTTATATTATGTGTATTAAAAGTTTTTAGTTTTTAAGTAACTCTCTTTATGTTAATATCACAGTATATGCATTTAAAAGAATATTTAAGGAATTACTCTTTTGCTCTTTCTTGTGTGAGTGTTCAGTGGACGTTGTTAGCTTAGCTTAGCATAGTGAATGAAAGCAGAGGGAACAGTTAGCATCTGTTGGTGTACCTCTCCTCCTGTGTGTGTTGATCGTGATCTCTCCGTAACAGACGTCTCTCTTCCTCTTCACCTCAGAGTAAACTGCAGCTGGACCGCTCTCTGCACGGTGAAACACATCATCAGAGTTACATGTAATATAATACATATAATATAACATTAATAACCAGTGCTGGAATTGGGCCGGTACTCACCGGTACGCAGTACCGGCACTTCTGGTTCTGACCCATGGAGTACCGGCACTTCTTGCTCAGTACCGGCATGCTGGCGGTACTCCGGTACTCATGCACCGTGCCAGTACTCAACACTCTCCCGCCGTTCTTATTATACATCCATATATATATATACAGCCGCCCGGTACTCAGTAGATGCGTCATGAGGTGCCGAACGGACATTCTCATCGCTCTAACCGCTGGAGTTTCACAGCGGCTGTCAGCTGTTTACTCCTGTCATTCAAACAGAACGTGCTGGAGAGGGGGCGGGGGCTTATCTTCTCCATGTAAATACTGTGGTGGAAACGACTATGTCAAAATTAACCTATTTGACCGTGATTTAATAGTAATACACGTTTCAAAATAATAATAATAATAATGCCGAAGTAACAACATACTGAAAACTGTTAGTAAAACCATGTTTTAATGCTTTACAATTTACATACCTAGATGCACGTGTGTTGTGTTTATGCAGTGCAACTCCCACCCAGTGGGTGGCTATGTAGAGTGATAGAACAGAGCAGGCACGCCCCCGAGAGAAGGAAAGCAAGTCACGTCACAAATTAGCATTTCTAAAATGTTAGCGTGGATTAATAAAAGTGCAAAAAGACAGCGGTTGTCGCCGGAAGAAACTTCAAATACAGAGAATGCTGTGCCTGTGTTGGAAATTGTGTCTGATGGGGAGCTTTCTTTGGTTGATCCTCCTGCTCCAAGTTCTAGTGCATTAGCATTAGCACTAGCTCCGCCGCCTCCTCCAGAGCCTCTAACGTTAGCTGCTGCTGGCGCAACTGCCACCACCAACACCGGGCAAAGCGATGCACCTGACTGCTGGACAACGGACCAGGTGCAATATTTTTGCAAGACCAATGCATGGCTCCTTCTTAAAGATAAGAAGCTAGGATGTCGGATATGCAGAGATGTCAAATCTTTGGGAATACACACTGGACAAGGACTGAAACTGTCAACTGAATGGGGTGAGTGTGCAGTGTCTCATTTCGGTGTTGACAAGGGCAAACAACAAGCTAGCCTGAGAAAAAAAATCAAAGAACATAAAGAATCACAAGCCCATGTAAAAGCTGCTGACATCCTTACATCTGCTTCACGTGAAACTATTCAACATCAAGTGCAGTCTATGCATACATCTGAATTAGACACCACTATCAGAGTTTTCGAACGGCATATAAAATTGGCAAACATAGCCGGCCATTCACAGACATGCCAATTGATTTGAATGTACAGAAACTGAATGGGCTGAACGTGGGCAGGGGTTTGCACTCCAATAAAACCTGTGGCGAAATCATCGACCACATAGCTCATGAGGCTGAAGAAAAAAATGGGCAAAAGACATTACAGAAAACCAAAGAAAACTCTGTGTTTTGGTCGATGAATCTACCACTATTAGTGGTAAAACGGTGCTTGTTGTGTGTCTATCTACGCTCAGCATTAGCTGATGCTGAGCCCGAAACGTTTTTTTGGGAGCTGATCGAGTTGGATGGAACAACGGCTGATGACATCACAAAGGCGTTAATGGAGTGTCTTGGAAGAGATTTTAACGAGGACTTTTTAGGTCAGTGTTTTGTTTCTTTTGCATGTGATGGGGCTTCAGTCATGCTAGGGAAGAGAACAGGCGTTGCTACCCAGTTGTGTAGTAAATTCCCAAGCCTGTTTGTGTGGCACTGCTCCAATCATCGTCTAGAGCTGGCAGTTGGGGATGTGGTCAAGGAGGTCTCAGGGCTCAATCATTTCCAGATCTTTTTTGACAAACTCTATTCCTTGTTCCATGCCTCCCCCAAAAATCAGAGGCAGTTAGCGCAGTGTGCGCAAGCTGTCGGACAGCGTCTCCTGGTGATAGGGCGTGTTTTGTCCATCCGCTGGGTGGCTTCAAGTGAAAAGGAGCGTCAGAGCAGTCTGGGAAAACTACAGAGTGCTTCATGATCACTTCACAAATGCTGCAAACGACACGAGCAGGGATTCCAGAGACAGAGCAAAGTACAAGGGCCTGGATGATGTGCTCACATCTGCAACGTTTGTCAGCAATCTGGGACTGATGTACGATGCGCTCACAGAGCTCAGCGACCTCTCTCGGCAACTCCAAAAAAGAGAGATGACACTGCCTACAGCAGATAGGCTCTTAACTCGAGAAATACGAGTTTTTGAATCCATGGTCACCATGCCTGGCCCACACATGACTACAGTTCATACAGCTCTAGCTGAGAAGTCCTTCAAGGGTGTTGCCCTGCGTGAGAATGGCAGGCTTGTACAGATTCATGCAGGTCAGTTTTTCCGCAGTATGGTAGAGAATCTGAGACACAGAATGACTTCCACAACCTCCTCTCATGTCAGCACAAGAGAAATCCCATTACATGGCCGGGAGGCCCGGGACAATCAGCTAATCCAGGACATGAAAGTTATCCATCCTGGAAGTTGGCCTGAAGAGGAGTTAGACGTACAGTATGGGGACGTAGAGGTGCTACGTTTGTGCGAAGTGCTGAAAGTGGACAGAAGAGAGACTGTTCAGGGCTTTCGCGAATACAAGGAAACCAGGGCATCCCGTACACCTGCTGCCATGGAGCCTCTACTGAAAGCAGTCCGAACCATCGCTGTCTCCACTAGTGAGTGTGAGCGGGCATTCAGCTGCATGAACGATATCCTTACTGCAAAAAGGAATGCTCTCTCTGTCAGCCGACTGTCCAGCCTGGTTTTCATTAAATGTAATGGACCATCACTAGGACAGTTCAATCCGGAACAGTATGTGAGGTCCTGGCTGGCAAAGGGAAGGAGAAGTGCTGATGAAAGAGCCTGTCCAGCTCCAGCCTCTGATACTGATGTCCCCAAGGCCTTCTGGAGCCTTTTCTAACAATGTGAAGTATATTGCAAAGCAGCTCACCCAGTGAGAAGACTTTTGGCATAATGTGCCGATTTGTACAGATCCTGGAGATAGAAGGACTTCAGACCAACCAGGGAGTTATCTGATCAGCTTGGTGTTCAATGTAACTCTTTACCATGGCTCAGACTTTGTTACTTGCAGTTACAGTTTCTCATTTTAGATTGTGCAAATTTTGCATTTGTTTTTACATGTTCTTTGTTCATGCTCTTTATCATTTTTCTGAGTTGGAAAGTTAGATTGCATCATAGTTTACTTTATACATATTTGTATTCTTCAGTGGTGAAGTATATTGCAAAGCAGCTCAGCCATGTGAGAAGACTTTTGGCACTTTTTCGTTTTTCGTTTTCTGAGTTGGAAAGTTAGATTGCATTCAAAATGTACAGAAATACTTAATTTTGTTAAAGCTTTTTATAAAAAATGCTTCTGACCAGAGCTTTGTTTCCTTGTCATTAATGTTGAACACCACCAGAGGGGCTCTCACCTGAAAGGTCTCTGCTTCATGTGTCTTCAGCAGAAGATCTAGACTTTGATTGCTATATTTTCAGTTAATATTGACCTTACTGAGCTTTAGCCATATCCGCTGCCTATCATAACAAATGTTAAGTACAGTGAACCTTTCTAAAATATACAGTAGTAAAGAGACAAACCCACCAGCATTATAGTAGCCAAATTCTTGTTTGTGGGCTGTATATATAAAATTGACTTGAAAAAGTTGCTGATTTTAGAGTACTGGCACCTTTTTCATTCCAATTCAAGCACTGTTAATAACGCTGCTATGGTTTAACTGTTCATGTATCGTGAGAACGATGAAAGGTTTCTTCTGAAACAGGAAGATGGGCGACCACAGAGCTGCCCGCCCCGATTAAAATACATTTGGCGTTGGCAATAAAAACCCAAATGTCTCGATGAGATCAGCTCTTCTCTGGAAATGAGCCTGCTGTGTTTTTACAAACTGACCCACGAGACGGAGGGTGAAAAGAGCGGGAATGAGAGATCCGAATGTAGGGCCGACAGCAGATGTCGCTGCTCAAAGTGTTTCAACAATGTTTCAACTTTGTGCAGAAACACACACTCACATGTCTCCATGCCTTAATGTTCAACAAGCTCTTTATTATTCTCATACTGCCTCTTTTCACCCTCTGTCTGAAACCAGAGCCCAGTCTGCTCTGATTGGCAGCTGGCCAGCTCTGTTGTGATGAGCCTATCACGTACAATGTGTTGCAGCTTGAAAGGGGGGCTGAAACTAATCAATATTTATTAATCACATTTTCTTTTTCGAATAGAAGTTTAAAAAATGTCCAAAAGAAAATAGGTTTAACAAATGCAACGGAAACTTAACCACAGCTGCTAGATCTTTATAAAGAAATGTTGACGTGTCTGTACGTCACACAAACAACACATATGTGCAACTTTAAATATATATTGTATGTAATCAGAGTCTTCACTTGCACATTTATAATTGTTTTCATATTATTTATTTGCACAGTCCTGCAGTGCAGCGTGTGCAGGTCAACACTTCTGAAGTGTTTTCCTTCAGCTGCTAGCTTGTGTTAACCACAAGGTACAAAACACACGTTCTCACACAGCACACCCTGTCATCCACTAACATAGACCTCACTCCAGTCTGAAACCTTAGGGACCAGTAAACATTCATCTGTTTTACATTTGATCCCTTTCAAAAATATCTTCATTTAACAGAAAATGCTCTTTTCTAAATTGTCCTCATGAGTTCTTAATTCCCGGATGGTCCTCACACGGATACAAGAACAAGAACACACACACACTGTCCCTGAGAACCAATCATTACCTCGGCCCCGTCGGCTCTTTTTGATTGGCTTCTTCCGGCTTTGGGATGTTTTGACATCGCTGTATGTGACGTCTTCTCCCATTTCCACTTCAGCGGCTGAAATAAATGTGTCACTTGATTAATATCGACTTTTAGGACAATGTGAAAGAAACAATTAAAATCAAAAATGTTAAATTGCAGTTAAAAATCATGTGAAACGATCAAAAGCTCCCTAATTGGATGAAAATATTGGGCATCGAGGTGAGATTACAGAAATCTAATTCATAAATATACTCATTGTGAGACTGACCGTTGAGCGGCCCAGACCAAGCAAGGAGGCAGAGGCAGAACGTCCAAAAATATAACCCGACGTGGGCATTTAATAAAATCATGTGCACAAAGTTCACAGCCTCAATCCTGCTGTTCTCCTTGCACACATCCTGCAGCCACCAGGATCTCACACACACACACAGTTACAAGGAAACAGCACCTAAATACACACATACTAACAAGACACAGGTGAGGGGGGAGGAGACAACACAAGACACCAGGTGCACACAATCATCAGCCACAGACAACATATTATTTGCACCCTGATTACTCTCAACCGCTGTCATCCTTACACCAGCATAACTCCTCTCGGCGCTCTCGCAAACTCCCCTATCTTTTCAGGCGGAGCCGAGGACCCGACCGGCACCTGCCAGACGACATTCCAATCAATACGGTTTAATCAGTTAAAAAATACTACTTCAATAATTAGTATGAATTATGTGCAAATATGTAATGTCAACTGTACTGTGCAATCACGCTAAAAGTGCAATATTACCCGGCCTGAAGCCGTCAGTCCATTGTGACGAAGTTACCTTCGTCACACTCATGGTTGTGTATTGCAGGAAACGTGGTTTTTAGGGTTGAAAAGTTCAACTAGCTAAATCTCCATCTATTTGCGTCTCTTTTTAACGGTGCATTCAAAACATGGAATAGGGGAACACATTTAATTAAATTGGGATTCAACTAATTAAGACCAATTATATTCAATGTTTTCACCATATTTCATTCTGATTAATGTCCCGGCACTGTTAGCTTAGCTTAGCTTAGCATAGTGAATGAAAGCAGGAAGTCAATGCTTTAGTAACATAATATGTATATCTGCACTGTGTGTGCAGAGCTGAGCTAACTGAACTGATTTAATCTATAACAGTTATTCAATTTAAGGTCTTATTTTGTGAAATAACAAACAATTACTTTTATTTATCTTATTTAAAGGGTTTAAGTAAAAATAAATTAAATATATTAATTTTTTTAAATGTTTGTAAAACTTTCATTTGTATAAAAAGCTTTGTCTTTATTTAATAATAATTAAGTAATACATTATTAATCATTTTAAATCCCAGTATTTTCTATTTTCTTTTAGATTTGTTTTGATCATTTTTGTATTATCATTTTTAATGTATGGCTTTTAGTTAATTTGTATATTATGTGTATTAAAGGTTTATAGTTTTTATGTAAAACTCGTTAATATCACGGTATATGCATTTAAAGGAATATTTAAGGAATTACTCTTTTGCTCTTTCTTGTGTAAGTGTTCAGTGGACGTTGTTAGCTTAGCTTAGCATAGTGAATGAAAGCAGAGGGAACAGTTAGCATCTGTTGGTGTACCTCTCCTCCTGTTTGTGTTGATCGTGATCTCTCCGTAACAGACGTCTCTCTTCGTCTTCACCTCAGAGTAAACTGCAGCTGGACCGCTCTCTGCACGGTGAAACACATCATCAGAGTTACATGTAATATAATACATTTAATATAACAATAATAACGCAGTTGTGGTTTAACTGTTCATGTTGCATGAGAACAATGAAAGGTGTTCTTCTGAAACAGGAAGGTGGTCGACCACAGAGCTGCCCGCCTCAATCAAAATACATTTCGCGTGGGCGACAAAACCCAAACGTCTATGAGATGAACACTTCTCTGGAAATGAACCTGCTGTGGTTTTACGAGCAGAGTGTACCGACCAACTTTATTAAATGTATTTATTAATTTGAGATGGAGCGAAGTAGTCTCGGTTTAGTTGAATATTCAATTCTGATTGGTCAAATTTCAGAGGTTGTTAATACTCGATAAAACACCATTGCTTTGAAGCACTTTGAATTGCCTTGTGTTGAAAAGTGCTATATAAATAAACTTGCCTTGCTAAAAAAAATACAGACTGTTTCTATGGAGGATCAAAGGAGAGAAAAAAGAGGGTTAAGTAGATATATATATAAGGGGCGACTGTGGCTGCGAGGGAGTGCGGTCGTCTTTCAACCAGAAGGTTGTGGGTTCGATCCCGGCCCATGTCGATGCATCCTTGGGCAAGACACTGAACCCTGAGTTGCTCCCGATGGTCAACGGTGTTTGAATGTTAGTTCCTAGAGCAAGTGGTACTGCTCTGTATGAATGGGTGAATGACATATAGTATGTAAAGCGCTTTGAGGGGTCTTAAAGACTGGATAAAGCGCTATATAAGTACAGTCCATTTACCATATAGAATAAATCCAGAATCAACAGGAATACAGTGTCAGCGTCGTTGCTTCTCCACTAATAAGGGGACATTTTAAACTTTAATATTTGTCTTATTCAGCCGGTGTTTGTGGGTTTTTAAATCAACACAACCAAACAAGTTTACGTAAAAAACTCAACAGATGTTGACTTAAAAAAGAATAAAATCAGCATATATGGTTAGTATTTGCCCTTTACCTTTGTTAGATCACATTTATGGAAAAAAATGCTTTTCCGTTTTTGTCAAAATGTAATCAAAATTAGGACAAATCAAAAGATCAAACATGGTTAACCTAAACATGTTTTACAAAATGGAAATTGTAAATGATAGTTTAAGGGAAGATCTCTAAGGGGTTGAACATGTTACAACGTTTAGAGGTTTCATTTATTTTCTGATTAATTATTTTGTATTATTAAATGTCCTGTTTAATAACATGTCTTAAGTTACATTACTACTAGTACTTTCTGATACTTTAGAATATATTTACTATCTGCTACTCATACTTTAGTAACACTTATATGAAAATAAATCAAATTATTTACGCTTCTCACATATATCAGGGTATATCTTTAAGAACGATGTGAACAAGTTGTTCTTCTTTACACTTCTGCTTCTTGGAAAGCAGAAAATAGCTTCAACAACTGCGATGGAAACTTAGCAACCACAGCTGCTAGATTTCATCAAGAGATGACGACATGTTGACCAAAATGATCTTGTCGGTACGTCAGACAAACTACACATATGTGCATGCATGTGCAACTATAATGATATATTGTATGTAATCAGAGTGTTAGTTTGAATATTTATAATGTACTCATATTATTTATTTGTGTTATTAACAGTCCTGCAGTGCAGCGTGTGCAGGTCAACACTTCTGAAGAGTTTTCCATCAGAAAGAGGAAACTGGACGACCTCAGAGCTGCTAGCTGGTGTTAACCACAAGGTACAACACACACATTCTCACACACGCTATCATCCACTAAGATAGACCTCACTACAGTCTGAAACCGTAGGGACCAGTACACATTGACTTTATAGATTTTAATCCCTTCTAAAATATATATATTTAGGAGAAAATTGTCTTTTCTAAATTGTCCCCAAAAGTTCTAAAATTCCGGATGGTCCTCACATGGATACATGAACAAGAAAACAAACACACCAGTCCCTGCGAACCAATCATTACCTCGGCTCTGTTTGATTGGCTTGTTCCGGCTTTGGGATATTTTGACATCGCTGTATGTGACGTCTTCTCCCTTTTCCACTTCAGCTGTTGACAAAAATGTAATTCAATAATATGCTTAGGCTTTTGTATTGCAGGAAATTATGATTTGCATAATTGTAACCCTACCTACAAATATATTTTTGCAGAATAGTGTGGGTTGAGTGTATAACAACGTCCCTAGTGAATTTGGTTCTTAAAATTTGATTATTTGTTGTTGTTGTTTTTTTATCTGTGTCTAACCTTCAGGTTTCCTTCGGATGCATCGTCGCAACAGAACAACCAGAATTATCAGAACCAGCAGAACCAGAACACAGAGGGATGCAGCAACAGGAAGCAACCAGGAGGGAGGGGTAGAAACAGACCTGGAGGTAGGAGGACTTGTAGTGGTGGTGGGTTTCTCTAAAAAGGAAAAACAAATAATGAACAGAACACAAATAAACATTTCATCGTCCGTCTTGATTTGTTTAGTATTTGTGTTTCAGGTTGAAACTAAATGTCAGTAATTCCTAATGTAAGGCTTTACAGAGCGGGAATCAGTCAAAACACTATTAAGATTATTATATTTTATTGTAGATTGTTTTCTGCAATAATCCAAAAGCTAATGGAGGAATCCAATTGGCTTTTTTGGAGAGCACCAGGGATATGCTGCCTTCAGGGTCCGGTACAGAAATATGTAAATCTTGAAACCAAAGCAAAGCTCCTCACCTGAGACAGACAGCCGGCTCTCTGGAGACTCTTTACTCTGGACTCTACACTTGTAGAGGCCTTCATCAGACCTGGAGACATGGAGGAGGGTCATGTGACCATCAGACTCAGTCCCAATGAAGACGCCATCTTTGTAGAAATCAGCAGAGGGGGGGTCGGCCATCTTTGTTCTACAGGTCAGAGTGACGTCATCTCCCTCCATCACAGGGAGGGCAGGACTCTGCAGGATCACTGATCCACCTGAACACAGAGGACAGAACCAACATCTACTCTGACAGGATCAACTCTATAGCTGAAGAGACAGAAACAACATCTACCTGCAGGATCAACTCTATACCTGAAGAGACAGAAACAACATCTACTCTGACAGGATCAACTCTATACCTGAAGAGACACGAAACAAACATCTACTCTGACAGGATCAACTCTATACCTGAAGAGACAGAGACAACATCTACTCTGACAGGATCAACTCTATACCTGAAGAGACAGAAACAACATCTACTCGGACAGGATCAACTCTATAGCTGAAGAGACAGAAACAACATCTACTCTGACAGGATCAACTCTATACCTGAAGAGACAGAACCAACATCTACTCTGACAGGATCAACTCTATACCTGAAGAGACAGAAACAACATCTACTCTGACAGGATCAACTCTATACCTGAAGAGACAGAAACAACATCTACTCTGACCAGGATCAACTCTATACCTGAAGAGACAGAAACACATCTACTCTGACAGGATCAACTCTATACCTGAAGAGACAGAGACAACATCTACTCTGACAGGATCACTCTATACCTGAAAGAGACAGAAACAACATCTACTCTGACAGGATCAACTCTATACCTGAAGAGACAGAAACAACATCTACTCTGACAGGATCAACTCTATACCTGAAGAGACAGAAACAAACATCTACTCTGACAGGATCAACTCTATACCTGAAGAGACAGAAACAACATCTCTCTGACAGGTATCAACTCTATACCTGAAGAGACAGAAACAAACATCTACTCTGACGAGGATCAACTCTATACCTGAAGAGACAGAAAACAACATCTACTACTCTGACAGGATCAACTCTATACCTGAAGAGACAGAACAACATCTACTCTGACAGGATCAACTCTATACCTGAAGAGACAGAAACAACATCTACTCTGACAGGATCAACTCTATACCTGAAGAGACAGAAACAACATCTACTCTGACAGGATCAACTCTATACCTGAAGAGACAGAGACAACATCTACTCTGACAGGATCAACTCTATACCTGAAGAGACAGAAACAACATCTACTCTGACAGGATCAACTATATACCCTGAAGAGACAGAGACAACATCTACTCTGACAGGATCAACTCTATACCTGAAGAGACAGAGACCAACATCTACTCTGACAGGATCAACTCTATACCTGAAGAGACAGAACCAACATCTACTCTGACAGGATCAACCTATACCTGAGAGACAGAACCAACATCTACTCTGACAGGATCAACTCTATACCTGAAGAGACAGAACCAACATCTACTCTGACAGGATCAACTCTATACCTGAAGAGACAGAACCAACATCTACTCTGACAGGATCAACTCTATACCTGAAGAGACAGAACCAACATCTACTCTGACAGGATCAACTCTATACCTGAAGAGACAGAAACAACATCTACTCTGACAGGATCAACTCTATACCTGAAGAGACAGAACCACATCTACTCTGACAGGATCAACTCTATACCTGAAGAGACAGAAACAACATCCTACCTCTGACAGGATCAACTCGATACCTGAAGAGACGAACCAACATCTACTCTACACAGGATCAACTCTATACCTGAAGAGACAGAACCAACATCTACTCTGACAGGATCAACTCTATACCTGAAGAGACAGAGACAACATCTACTCTGACAGGATCAACTCTATACCTGAAGAGACAGAAACAACATCTACTCTGACAGGATCACTCTATACCTGAAGAGACAGAAAACAACATCTACTACCTGACAGGATCAACTCTATAGCTGAAGAGACAGAAACAAACATCTACTCTGACAGGATCAACTCTATACCTGAAGAGACAGAACCCAACATCTACTCTGACAGGATCAACTCTATACCTGAAGAGACAGAGACAACATCTACTCTGACAGGATCAACTCTATACCTGAAGAGACAGAAACAACATCTACTCTGACAGGATCAACTCTATACCTGAAGAGACAGAAACAACATCTACTCTGACAGGATCAACTCTATACCTGAAGAGACAGAAACAACATCTACTCTGACAGGATCAACTCTATACCTGAAGAGACAGAAACAACATCTACTCTGACAGGATCAACTCTATACCTGAAGAGACAGAACCAACATCTACTCTGACAGGATCAACTCTATAGCTGAAGAGACAGAAACAACATCTACTCTGACAGGATCAACTCTATACCTGAAGAGACAGAGACAACATCTACTCTGACAGGATCAACTCTATACCTGAAGAGACAGAACCAACATCTACTCTGACAGGATCAACTCTATACCTGAAGAGACAGAAACAACATCTACTCTAACAGGATCAACTCTATACCTGAAGAGACAGAAACAACATCTACTCTGACAGGATCAACTCTATACCTGAAGAGACAGAGACAACATCTACTCTGACAGGATGAACTCTATACCTGAAGAGACAGAAACAACATCTACTCTGACAGGATCAACTCTATACCTGAAGAGACAGAAACAACATCTACTCTGACAGGATCAACTCTATACCTGAAGAGACAGAAACAACATCTACTCTGAGAGGATCAACTCTATACCTGAAGAGACAGAAACAACATCTACTCTGACAGGATCAACTCTATACCTGAAGAGACAGAGACAACATCTACTCTGACAGGATCAACTCTATACCTGAAGAGACAGAAACAACATCTACTCTGACAGGATCAACTCTATACCTGAAGAGACATAAACAACATCTACTCTGACAGGATCAACTCTATACCTGAAAGAGACAGAAACAACATCTACTCTGACAGGATCAACTCTATACCTGAAGAGACAGAACCAACATCTACTCTGACAGGATCAACTCTATACCTGAAGAGACAGAACCAACATCTACTCTGACAGGATCAACTCTATACCTGAAGAGACAGAACCAACATCTACTCTGACAGGATCAACTCTATACCTGAAGAGACAGAACCAACATCTACTCTGACAGGATCAACTCTATACCTGAAGAGACAGAACAACATCTACTCTGACAGGATCAACTCTATACCTGAAGAGACAGAACCAACATCTACTCTGACAGGATCAACTCTATACCTGAAGAGACAGAAACAACATCTACTCTGAGCAGGATCAACTCTATACCTGAAGAGACAGAACCAACATCTACTCTGAACAGGATCAACTCTATACCTGAAGAGGACAGAAACAACATCTACTCTGACAGGATCAACTCTATACCTGAAGAGACAGAACCAACATCTACTCTGACAGGATCAACTCTATACCTGAAGAGACAGAGACAACATCTACTCTGACAGGATCAACTCTATACCTGAAGAGACAGAGACAACATCTACTCTGACAGGATCAACTCTATACCTGAAGAGACAGAAACAAACATCTACTCTGACAGGATCAACTCTATACCTGAAGAGACAGAACCAACACTCTACTCTGACAGGATCAACTCTATACCTGAAGATACAGAGACAACATCTACTCTGACAGGATCAAACCTATACCTGAAGAGACAGAGACACATCTACTCTGACAGGATCAACTCTATACCTGAAGAGACAGAACCAACATCTACTCTGACAGGATCAACTCTATACCTGAAGAGACAGAACCAACATCTACTCTGACAGGATCAACTCTATACTGAAGAGACAGAGACAACATTCTACTCTGACAGGATCAACTCTATACCTGAAGAGACAGAACCAACATCTACTCTGACAGGATCAACTCTATACCTGAAGAGACAGAAACAACATCTACTCTGACAGGATCAACTCTATACCTGAAGAGATAGAAACAACATCTACTCTGACAGGATCAACTCTATACCTGAGAGACAGAAACAACATCTACTCTGACAGGATCAACTCTATACCTGAAGAGACAGAAACAACATCTACTCTGACAGGATCAACTCTATACCTGAAGAGACAGAACCAACATCTACTCTGACAGGATCAACTCTATACCTGAAGAGACAGAAACAACATCTACTCTGACAGGATCAACTCTATACCTGAAGAGACAGAACCAACATCTACTCTGACAGGATCAACTCTATACCTGAAGAGACAGAAAACAACATCTACTCTGACAGGATCAACTCTATACCTGAAGAGACAGAACCAACATCTACCTCTGACAGGATCAACTCTATACCTGAAGAGACAGAGACAACATCTACTCTGACAGGATCAACTCTATACCTGAAGAGACAGAGACAACATCTACTCTGACAGGATCAACTCTATACCTGAAGAGACAGAAACAACATCTACTCTGACAGGATCAACTCTATACCTGAAGAGACAGAAACAACATCTACTCTGACAGGATCAACTCTATATCTGAAGAGACAGAAACAACATCTACTCTGACAGGATCAACTCTATACCTGAAGAGACAGAACCAACATCTACTCTGACAGGATCAACTCTATACCTGAAGAGACAGAAACAACATCTACTCTGACAGGATCAACTCTATACCTGAAGAGACAGAAACAACATCTACTCTGAGAGGATCAACTCTATACCTGAAGAGACAGAACCAACATCTACTCTGACAGGATCAACTCTATACCTGAAGAGACAGAACCAACATCTACTCTGACAGGATCAACTCTATACCTGAAGAGACAGAACAACATCTACTCTCTGACAGGATCAACTCTATACCTGAACAGAACCAACATCTACTCTGACAGGATCAACTCTATACCTGAAGAGACAGAACCAACATCTACTCTGACAGGATCAACTCTATACCTGAAGAGACAGAAACAACATCTACTCTGACAGGATCAACTCTATACCTGAAGAGACAGAAACAACATCTACTCTGAGAGGATCAACTCTATACCTGAAGAGACGAAACAACATCTACTCTGACAGGATCAACTCTATACCTGAAGAGACAGAACCTAAAGAAAACATACTACCTCTGACAGGATCAA